GATTAGTTACTGGATGAACAGAGAAGTATCTGTGCAGTTGCTAAAACTTGTAGTTGCACATGGAAAAATACATCGGGTATTACAGAGATTCAGTTGTAGAAGATTAATAAATAGGCTGCTTGGTTGAAATGAGGAGACCATTAATTTAGCTAATTATTTGATCTATTTAATGTTAGATGGTAGAGTTCATAAGACCCTGGCTAAAAAGCATACTTGAGGCCAGGCATGGTGGCTCACGCCTGTAATCCTAGCACTTTGGGAAGCTGAGGTGGGCAGATCACGAGGTCAAGAGTTCGAGACCATCCTGGCCAACATGGTGAAACCCCCTCTCTCCTGAAAATACAAAAATTAGCTGGGCATGGTGGTTCTCGCGCCTGTAGTACCAGCTACTCGGGAGGCCAAGGCAGGAGAATCGCTTGAACCAGGAGGCGGAGGTGGAGGTTGCAGTGAGCCGAGCTCGTGCCACTGCATTCCAGCTCTGCAAAAGAGCGAGATTCCGTCTCTAAAAAAAAAAAAAAACAGCATACTTGAAACTCTTGTTATCATCCTTCTTATAGTCAAAATAGTAGTCTCCCTACTGCAGTGTATTCTCTCAAAAGTTATAAATGTTTGCATGCAGTTATCTCTAGAATGTCAAATGGTCTCTCTTTAACTGCAATCACAAAAACTCAAATGCATATGTGACCATGAGGACACCATAACCTGAATGACCTGATAGGGACAAAAACTAAAAATAATGGAAACTGAGAGTGGCATTAAGACACTGAGTTTTGGTCATACTCTTACCTATGTGAGAACTTAACCAAAAGGGGGGCATTTTATAAACAAAATTATTGAAGGCCATCATTCTGGACTGAGCTTGTGCGTTAGGCCCAAAGAGACTAAGCCAAACCAAATGGAGTCACTCGTGTTAATGTGACATAATCAAGCTGAAAATGTAAGGAAATAGGTAGATCCTAAAACAGGCCAGGTTTGGTTGTTCTTTTGAAAACAGCAGATTTCAACACAAGGAGGTCACCTCTACTGTAACCCTTAAAAAAATAATAATAACCTGAAGTCCTTGTTACCACTTTACAAAAGCTACAGTTCGGCTATTTCACAGTGGGATTTGAGAATAAAGAAGTACATTTTTGATGGTGACAGAATAATATCCATGTCTAAAGTTCTGGTCTATCTCTCAAAATTGAGAAGATGATCAAAAGGGAGAGACTGTTAAATTAATTATCCTTAAAGCTGCTCCCTTTTCTGTTTAACTTTGGTCACTAGGTTTTTTTAAACAGAGTAAACTGAAACCTAACTGGATATATACATAGACTGTATTCCATTATTGTACCAAAAATTGTGTTTTTGCCAATAAAAGGACAACAAGTGTTCAAATTATGTTTAAGGCAAATCCCAACCTGTAATCAATCTGGCTGTTTCTGTACCTCACTTCCATTTTCTGTATGTCACTTTGCTTTTTCCGTCTACAAATCTGTTCTCATCATGTGGCTTTGGTAGTCTCTCTGAGCCTACTCTGGATCTACCGGCTGCCCGATTTGCAAATCATTCTATGCTCTATTAATAAACTCTGTTAAATTTAATTTATGTAAAGTTTTAAAGTTTTTCTCTTTTAAAAGTTTTCAAATGTTTTCTTTTCTCTCTCTCTCTTTTTTTTTTTTTTCTTGAGACGGAGTTTCGCTCTTGTTGCCCAGGCTGGTGTGCAGTGGCACGATCTCGGCTCACTGCAACCTCAGCCTCCCAGGTTCAAGCGATTCTCCTGCCTCAGCCTCCCAGGTAGCTGGGATTACAGATATGTACCATCATGCCTGGCTAATTTTGTATTTTTAGTAGAGACAGGGTTTCCCCATGTTGGTCAGGCTGATCTCGAACTCCTGACCTCAGGTGATCCACCCACCTCAGCCTCCCAAAGAGTTTCGCTCTTGTTGCCCAGGCTGGTGTGCAGTGGCACGATCTCGGCTCACTGCAACCTCAGCCTCCCAGGTTCAAGCGATTCTCCTGCCTCAGCCTCCCAGGTAGCTGGGATTACAGATATGCATCATCACGCTTGGCTAATTTTGTATTTTTAGTAGACAGGGTTTCCCACGTTGGTCAGGCTGATCTCGAACTCTTACCTCAGGTGGGTGATCCACCCACCTCAGCCTCCCAAAGTGCTGGGATTACAGGTGTGAGGCACCGTACAGCCTAGTTTTCAAACATTTTCTTTTTTTCTTTTTTTTTTTTTTGAGACAGGAGTCTCACTGTTACCCAGGCTGCGCAGGGTGTGATCTCGGCTCACTGCAGCTGCGCTCCCGAGTTCATGCCATTCTCCTGCCTCAGCCTCCCAAGCAGCTGGGACTACAGGCACCTGCCACTTCGCCCGGCTAATTTTTTTGTATTTTTAGTAGAGACAGTTTTTCACCATGTTAGCCAGGATAGTCTCGATCTCCTGGGACCCGTGATCTGCCCGCCTCGGCCTCCCAAAGTGCTGGGATTACAGGTGTGAGCCACAGCGCCCGGCTCAAATATTTTCTATGATAAAAATAAATAATGTGCTGTTGGACTTTGATTTTCTAAACTCATCCCTCAGCTTTTTCCTCAAATTATTCTGTCTTCCAAATGCTTATCCAATTTTTATTTTATTTATTTATTTATTTTTTTGAGACAGAGTCTCATTTTACCACCCAGTGTGGATAGCAGTGGTGCAGCCAATCACGGCTTACTGCAGCCTTGGCCTTCCAGGCTCAAGCAGTCCTCCTGCCTCTGCCACCTAAGTATTGGGACTACAGGCATGCACCACCATGGCTGGCTAATTTTTTTCATTTTTTTTTCATGGAAACAAAATCTTATTATGTTGCCCAGGCTGCACCGGAACTCCTGAGTTCAAATTCTCCCATCTCAGCCACCCAAAGTGCTAGGAATACAGGTCTGAGCCACCGTGTTTGCAAAATGGTAGCAATTTTTCATCCCTCCTGTATCCATGCCCAATGCCAGATGCTTTTACAGTTGTTTCCATCAAGATTCAGAATCTGTTTTCCAAACCCCAGATCAGCCTGGCCTTATTTGCTCAGGGCAGTAGAAACCTGTGAACATGGCAATGGGCTAGTTTGGGGCCTAGGCTCAAATAGTCTTGAATGTTTCTGTTTTTCTTTTAGAATGTTGACATCGCCTTGGAAAAAATCCCATGTTGGCCAGCTGGAAAATAAGATATCATGGGGAGGAGAAGCAAGGTGTCCCTGTTGACAACCCCACAAGCAGAACATCACCCCCAGAAGCACAGCTGCCTAGTCAACAAGCAGCTGATGACACATATCTGAAGGAGCTCAGCTGAAATCAGAAGAATGGCCCCACTGAGCCCAGCCTAAATGGCTGACCATCTCAATTATGAACTAATAAGTTTTGGATGATTTGTTATGCTGCAATAGCTAACTAATACATGTACTCACTGTAGATAGGATGCCAGGATTCAATGACAGGTTGATTACTAGTTACCTTCTAACAGTGGGTACCCTATAGGTACTGATTTTTTCCCCTGATTTAAAGTTGGGTGACTTGTAAGAGAACGTTGAGTAATGCAGAAATACAGGTAGACATGTATGCATGTGACTGGTGCTTATACCCACACACCCTCCACACCACAGGGAAAAACAGATAACCATAGTGTGACAATTAGGGCCAAGGCCAAATAGCAAAATAAGCTTGCTTTTAATCTATCTTCTCCATATCTAAGCATTGGAGGTCAAGAGTGTGGACAGAATTGAAGACACAGAGTTTTTTTATCCTGTGACCCCAACATCCTTTGTTCACTGTCTGATCTCTGGAAGAAAAGTGGACAACAGGTGGCCAGCAGTGGTCTACGTGCAGTTATTTTATTCCTGCTGCCACCTGCTCTTTTGATGGCCACTATCTGTTCCACCCTTAGAACTGAAGAAAGATGTTGGTAGGGAAGGCTAATTTTCTGCCTTCACTTCTGGCAGAAAAGGAATGTTCCGTTCATTCACCCCCCTGACATCAGAGCTGCACTTCAATGTGGCAGCTATTGGCCATGTGTGCCTCCTGAGTGACTGGAATGTGGCTGGTCTGAACTGTGATGTGCTAGAAAGGTAATATACAGAGTTAGTTTCAAATGTTTACATACATTATTAATAATTACACATTCCTCACACATTACAATGATAATATTATGGACATATTGGGTTAATTAAATTGTTACAATCGATTCAACCTGTTCCTTGTTTCTTTTTCAAGTTTGTCTTCTAGAAAATTTAAGATTCACATGTGGCCCACATTTTATTTCAGAAGATTACCTCCTTTTTAAAATCTCAGGCTGCCTGTTCCAAGGACCAGAGCCAGGAGGGTCATAAAATCTGAAATTTTAAAATAATTATTGTTACATTCTTTTCATTTTTGAATAGCCACTATCCATATGTGTGTGTATATACGTGTGTGTGTGTGTGTGTGTATGTATATATATATATATATATTTTTTTTTTTTTTTTTACACAGAGCTTTGCTCTTGTTGCCCAGGCTGGAGTGCAATGGCACAATCTCGGCTCACCGCAACCTCCGCCTCCCAGGTTCCAGCGGTTCTCCTGCCTCAGCCTCCCGAGTACCTGGAATAATAGGCATGGGCCACCGCGCCCGGCTAATTTTGTATTTTTTGTAAGGACTGGGTTTCTCCATGTTGGTCAGGCTGGTCTCCAACTCCCGACCTCAGGTGATCTGCCCCCCTCGGCCTTCCAAAGTGTTGGGATTACCGGCGTGAGCCACCGCGCCCAGCCCCATATATTATTTATAAGTGCATATGACCTTATACACAAGGTTAAATGCAAATAACCTCTGCGGTGGGCCTGGCTCAGCTCGGCGAGGAAGCCCTGTCAGAGAAGGATGCAGCCTAGGCTGTCACTCTTCATTCAGCCCCGCATCTCATCACATCTTCCGTCAATCAGGACCTGAGGGGGCGGGGATTTAAATATTATCCAATCAGAGGCGCCAGGCTGGGAACCGTCCAATCAGGCACGCAAGTGAAACCGACAGGGCGGCTTCCGGGTTTGGCGGGGCCTTTGTCTCTTGCTGTGGCCTGAGCTCCAGGTCTCGCCTTCACTGATCTGTGTCCTCTCCTCCTAGAGGTCCAGGCTCTGTGGCCCTGTGACCTGCAGGTATTGGGAGAGCTACAACTAAGACGCCAGGAACACCTGGAAGCCTAGAAATGGTGAGAGTGCCGGGTCCGACATTCCGAGAGGGGAGGGGCTGGTTGGAACCGATGGAACGTGGCTGTGGCGGGACTCAGGCCTCTCCGCAGTCAGCTCCACAATCTGCGCCCCGAGTTCTCTTGTCCAGCTCGGCGTCAGTACCCATCAGCCATAAGATGGCGGCTGCGCTGACAGCCGGGCCCCGGCACGTCCTGTCTTCCTTGCGCAGTGACTGTGCCCTGGCCCGGAGCCCTCTCTGGGCAGCTCTGCTTCCGCAGCGCAGCGTCTTTCCCAGACTGTGCAGGGAGGGAGGAGCCTCACTGGAGAATCCTGACTTGGGGTGCGAGTTCATGAATGGAAAGAACTTTGGTCCTGGGTTCCTAGTTCCTCTTTTCTCCTATTAAAAATGTACAGGCCGGGCGGGGTGGCTCACGCCTGTAATCCCAGCACTTTGGGAGGCCCAGGCGGTCGCATCACGCAGTCAGGAGTTCAAGACCAGCCTGGCCAGCATAGTGAAACCCCGTCTTTGCTAAAAATACAAAAATTTGCCGGGCATGGTGGCACACGCCTGTAGTCCCAGCTGCTTGGGAGGCTGAGGCAGGAGAATCACTTGAACCTGGGAGGTGGAAGTTGCAGTGAGCCGAGATCGCGCCACTGCACTCCAGCCTGTATAATGCAGCCTGTGTAACACGGAGCAAGACTCCGTGTCGGGGGGGGGGAAATTGCGCAGAAGTCACCGCAAGAATATTTAAGAAATTAATCAAAGAGTGATGCAAACACTGTATAGCACCCAGTTATGGTTTGTAATTTGTTTTTCATGGTGGGGCTTGAAGGAAAGACTTTTATAAGGTGCGTGAAGAAAGCCAAATTCAGTAATTGGTTAGGTACAGTTGTGTAGTTTCTCAGTTTGTACAATAAAGGTGAAAATTTTCTGGTTATGTAATCGGAGCTTAATTGGCAGTAGATAGTTGGTTAAGCCTGATTTTTTATGTCTTTCAATGTAGTAATTTTCAAAACGATGCTCTTGAGTTAGATTTTTTTTTTTTTTTTTTTTTTTTTTGAGATGGAGTCTCGCTCTAGTCGCCCAGGCTGGAGGAGTGTACTGACACAATCTCGGCTCACTACAACTTCTGCCGCTGCCCGTGTTCAAGCTTCTCCTGCCTCAGCCTCTTGAGTAGCTAGGATTACAAGATTGTCTCAGGATGTTTTGGGGTCAAGGTTTTCCTTTGGAAACTTTATGGGGTGATGTGTCCTCAGCCACCCTTCAATTTTTTCCTGGTCCTGAGTTTTAGTACTGTCTGGAGATAAACCAAGATATCTGCTGTGGTTATGTCAGCTAGAGTGTCTAGTGGATATCAGCTTCTGGGTTATTTTCTCCCATAGGAGAACCTGAAGTCTGGAGTGTATCCTCTCAAGGAAGCAAATGGATGCCCTGGGGCTGAGAGGAATCTTCTGGTGTACTCTTTTTATGAAAAGGTAACCCCTTGAGATGTTAAAATTGTCTTTACCCAACCCAGCTTTCATCTCTTGGAGACACATTGCTGGTCAACCAATCAGATTCTGGTATTGAGGGGAAAACAAATAATCTTTGCCCCTGGATTCTCTAAGGGGGCAGAAAAATAGTGAAATAAATATAGTGAAAGTGAAATAGTGGAAAAAAGTGGAACATTTGTGACAGAAAAAAATAGTATCCCAAAAGACAAAAGGAAAAAGAAAAACACTGACCCCAGTGAGATGGTGTAAGAACTTGCAAACCTTTTTTTTTTTTTTTTTGAGACGGAGTCTTCCTCTGTCGCCCAGGCTGGAGTGCAGTGGCCGGATCTCAGCTCACTGCAAGCTCCGCCTCCCGGGTTTACGCCATTCTCCTGCCTCAGCCTCCCGAGTAGCTGGGACTACAGGCACTCGCCACCTTGCCCGGCTAGTTTTTTGTATTTTTTATTAGAGACACAGTTTCACCGGGTTAGCTAGGATGGTCTTGATCTCCTGACCTCGTGATCCGCCCTCTCGGCCTCCCAAAGTGCTGGGATTACAGGCTTGAGCCAGCGTGCCCGGCAAGAACTTGCAAACTTAAATGCCCATGGGACAGTCATTGGGGCATAGTGTGGTGTCTCCTGAATGGGTGGTTCTTGAACACATAAGTGAGCAGGGGTGGGTGGAAGACTCTCAAGTGATTGAATGGCCTGACTTGAAACATGAGTCAGACACATCTGTTTTTAATCAGCACTGCTACTCCCTGGGTTTGTCACCTTGAAAAGAGTTGTTCGATTATTTTAACCTCAGTTTTTTAGCTGTAAATTGTATTATATTAGTAGGGCTTGAAAGGTAGGAAAATATTTACCAAAGGCATAAAAGTGGTGGGTTTAAGAAAAAAATTGGTATCTAATAATATATTTCATTCATTAAAAATTCTCTATTCCCTTTTTTTTTTCTCCCCAGGTGAGTTTAGAAATTTTCTCAGGTGTGTTTTTTTATGGCTGGGTGATTTCAAACAGAATTCTAAGGCTCAGCTTTTAGAATGCTACCAAGGAAATGAGTAGGGAAAATCTCTATTCCATTTTTTTTTTTGTAGAAAATAAATACATTTCTATAAGAAAATGTGGTAGATAATTGGTGAGTTACATAGATGCATGAAAATATCATTTCCTCTTTTTGCAGGGTAAATTTGTGACAGTGAATATCTCTGTTCAAACCCTTTTATCTTGATTTCTGAGTTTCACGCTAAATTTTATGAGATAAAACTTGGTACCACCTAGAAGTTTTCCCATATGACTAATTGTTTACTAAATGATTCTTAATGGAATTAATAAAATAATGCATATATGAAAGAAATAGATACTTTTGCTTTTTTTATTGAGGTATAAATTGCAGACACTTTAAAATTTCCTTCCCTTATATGAACACTGTGTTTGAGTAATTTTGCTAGATTTTTCAAACACATAGTTTCAAAAACCAAGTGAATAAGTCTAACATAGAAGTTAAAGCTTGAGCCCAGTGACTCAGAGCTAAGGCTAGTGTTGAGCCTGCAAAAGGAGTTTATTACAGGCTCAGTTAGTTTTTTTCTGGGGAGCCTCCCCTGCAGATGTCCCGCCTGCTCACTCTACCTGAGGAAGAAGCTTTTCTGCTGAGAGAGGCTACAGAGTCCTGGAAAGGTGGGGACCCACAGGCAGATACAGTTAAGGTTAAGATGGTAGGGGATTGGGAGGGTCTTACTGATGATAAAGTTGTTATTGTTTGAAGGCAGTTTCTAGACTTTGTAATATATAACAAAGTTAGTTTTATGTTAAAAATTTGAATTCCAAAGGACTATTGCAACAGGAAGAAATACCAACCGTAAGAACTTTAAGGATTGCAAAGTTTAGGCAGACAAGGGCTTTCTTTCATGGGGAGGAGCAAACAAAATTAGAAAGAAGTTGGAGGGGACTGGCAAATGAAGGGTGAAATAATCAGATTTTAGATCAGAGAATGTTTTACCCTGAAGTCAGCATGTTCTTGGGAGGGACATAAAATGGAGTTGTATATTGGCTCAGACTGACAGTAGCTCCAAATTCAGGAGCCTGTGAAAAATTTTATTTAGACCAATGAAGACAAATTCAGCTGATTTTTTTTTTTTTAATGAGAAAAAGAAAATGTGCAGAGTTCTTATCAGAAAGGGGTCACAATCCAAACCCCAAGAGAGGGTTCTTGGATTTTGCTCAAGAAAGAATTCAGAGTGAGTCTATAAAGTAAAAGCAAGCTTATTAGGAAACAGACGGAATAAAAGAATGGCTTACTCCATAGGCAGAGCAGCCCTGAGGGCTGTTGGTTGCCCATTTTTGTGTTTATTTCTTGATTCTATGCTAAACAAGGGGTGGATTATTTTTGCCTTCCCAATTAGACAATGTAAAGTAATTTCCTGATGTTTCCATGATGTCTCCGTGGCATTTGTAAACTGTCATGGCATTGGTGGGAGTGTAGCAGTGAGGACGACCAGAGGTCACTCTCCTCCCATCTTGGTTCTGGTGGGTTTTATCCACCTTCTTTACTGCAACCTATTTTATCACCCAGGTCTTTATAACCTGTATCTTGTGCTGAACTCTTCTCTTATCCTGTGACTTCGAATGCCTCACCATCTGGGAGTACAGCCCCATAGGTCTCAGCCTCATTTTACCCAGCCCCTGTTCAAAATGGATTTGCCCTGATTCATTTGAAATGATATGTCTCTGACATTTCTCCCTTTTTTTTTTTTTTTTTAAATCTGAGATGGAGTCTCACTCTGTTGCCCAGGCTGGAGTGCAATGGCATCGTCTCGGCTCACTGCAACCTCCACCTACCGGGTTCAAGTATTTCTCCTGCCTCAGCCTCCCCAGTAGCTGGGATTACAGGCGCCTGCCACCATGCCCTGCTAATTTTTGTACTTTTTTTTTTTTTTAGTCCAATCAGTTTACTCTGCTTTCTCCATCTCCTCCTCCCATTAGTCAGCCATTGGAACTGGGAAACCTCCTACTTTCCCCCTCTTTGCATTCTTTCCACAATTCATCTTGTCTTTCCGCAACCATATCTCCTTAACAGACTGAAGATTCTGTCATTGAGAATAGAGTGATCCATAAACCTGGTCATCGCACTTTTTATGACACAGTGACGTGGGCCTCAGATCCTTGGCATGGTTTTCTCTGGATGCACTCCTGGATCTAATTTTTGTATTTTTAGTAGAGACAGAGTTTTGCCATGTTGACCAGGATGGTCTCCATCTCTTGACCCCGTGATCCACCTGCCTCAGCCTCCCAAAGTGCTGGGATTACAGGCATGAGCCACCACACCTGGCCGTAATCTCTGACTTCTTTTTTTTTTTTTTTCCTTGGGATGGAGTCTCACTCTGTTGCCCCAGCTGGAGTTCAATGGCTTGATCTCAGTTCACTGCAACCTCTGCTTCCCAGGTTCAAGTGATTCTCCTGCCTCAGCCTTCTGAGTAGCTGGGATTATAGGCACACACCCCTGCACCTGGCCAATTTTTGTATTTTTAGTAGAGATGGAGTTTTACCATGTTGGTCAGGCTGGTCTCAAACTCCTGACCTCGTGATCTGCCTGCCCCCGCCTCCCAAAGTGCTGGGGTTACAGGCGTGAGCCACCGTCCCTGGTCAATCTCTGACTTCTTTAAGCAATGTTTTGTGATTCTTGTCATAGGGATCTTTCACCATTCTGATTAGCTATATTCATAGATATTCTGTTCTATAGATATTCTTGTTCTTTTTGTGGCAGTTGCGAATGGGATAATGTTTTTGATTTGGCTTTTGGCTTGATGTTTTGATGTACAGAGATTCTGGTTGATTTTTTTTTTTTTTTTTTTTTTTTTTTTTGAGACGGAGTCTCGCCTCTGGGTCACCCAGGCTAGAGGCAGTGGCCTGATCTCCACTCACTGCAAGCTCCGCTCCCGGGTTCACTTTTCATTCTCCTGCCTCAGCCTCCCAAGTAGCTGGGACTACAGGCACCCGCCACTGCGCCCAGCTAATTTTTGTATTTTCAGTAGAGATGGGGTTTCACCGTGTTAGCCAGGATGGTCTCGATCTCCTGACCTCGTGATCTGCCCGCCTCGGCCTCCCAAAGTGCTACTATATATGTAGCCACCGCTACTTTTTCCGCTTCATTCTGCTTGATTTTTATATATATATTTAGTATCCTGAAATTTTGCTAAAGTTGTTTATCAGTTTAAAGAGCTTTCCTGCTGAGACTATAGGGTTTTGAAGATATAGAATCATGTCATCTGCCCACAGGGATAGTTAGACTTCCTTTCTTCCTGTTTGGATGCCTTTTCTTTTCTATTTTTTTTTTTTTTTTGAGACAGAGTCCTGCTCTCACCAGCCTGGAGTGCAGTGGCATGATCTCGGCTCACTGCAACCTCCGCCTCCCTCCTGGGTTCAAGCGATTCTCCTGCCTCAACCTCCCGAGTATCTGGGACTACAAGCGCACGCCACCATGCCTAGCTAATTTTTGTATTTTTAGTAGGGATGAGATTTCACCATGTTGGCCAGGATGGTCTCAATCTCTTGACCTTGTGATCCGCCCACCTCGGCCTCCCAAAGTGCTGAGATTACAGGTGTGAGCCACCATGCCCGGCGAATGCCTTTTATTTTCATCTCTTCTCTGATGACTCTGGCCAGGATTCCCAATTTTATGTTGAATAGGAGTTTTGAGAGAAGGCATCCTTATCTTGTGCCAGTTTTCAAGGAGGAATGCTTCCAGCTTGTGTCCATTCAGTATGTTGGCTGTAAGTTTGTCATAGATATCTCATTATTTTGAAGTATGTACCTTCAATATCTGGTTTGTTGAGGGTTTTAAACATGAAAAATGTTAAATTATATTGAAAGTGTTTTTAGCATCTATTGAGATCATCTTTTGGTATTTGTTATTAGTTCTCTTTATGTGATGAATAACATTTATTGATTGTATGTTGAACCAACTTGCATCCCAGAGATGCAGCCTACTTGATTATAGTGGATTAG